TAATGTGGGTGTCTTTCATACATATATAAATACGCGTCCTTCTTCCATTTCCGATCTGCACGCAAATCCTTCGCTTTGCTTCGCTCTCTCGCTCTCTCGCTTTTGCGATCTACTCTAGAGGGGACAAAAAGGATCAACGATGGCGGAGCAGTTGACGGACGACCAGATCGCGGAGTTCAAGGAGGCCTTCAGCCTCTTCGACAAGGATGGAGACGGTCAGATCCACCTACTGCCTCTTTGTCTCTCGATGATCCTCGTTTCTTAGCCGTTGACCTCTTGTCTTTCTCGATCTGGCGATCGGTGGTTTGGTTATGATGGGCCTCTTTCCGATCCATGTGGTCCGCGGAGCGCCTAGATCGTCGGATGTGTCTCGGGAAATTAGGGTTTTGTTGCTCCGCTCACTGATCTGTTTGTCTTGGTCCCGCTGATGCCGTCCTTTGCCGCTTTTGCTATGGATTCGTTTGATTTTCCATAGATCTTAGTGTTTTGTTCTCGATCTTAATATTATCGTGTACAGTTCGGTCGTCGTGAGATTGTTCTGATCTTAAATTAGATCACTGTGATCATCTTGTTACGCCGCATCATTTAGTGAACTTAAAGCTGACAAATTGGTAAGACCCATGGCTTGTCGATAGGCTGCAGAGAAGCAACCTTTATTGTGACGTAGGGAGCTGAGAGGATGATCCTTCTTGACTTCCATCCTAAATTATGTTTTGGCATGGAGACGAAATATCCCTTTTTTGTGTTGACAAAGACATGGTTCTCTTTTATTGGAAGATCATCAACCTGTCTTCGTCACTTACCCTCTGTTAAGAAAAAGGATTCATACACCAAAAACATTGGTCCAGTGATGGACCAGATCCACTTATCAAAGGCTGAGGGTTCAAAAACTCATCCGGCATATTCTTTTAAAAAATTGAGGTTCTTCATCTTAAATATTGATTTGGTGGTGGTGTATCAAACCCACTTACCAAAGGTTGAAAGGTTAAAATCTCATCTGATGTATTTTTTATACCTAAAACATTGGTCTGATAGTGGCATACCAGATTCACATACCAAAGGTTGAGGGTTTGAAATTGTATCTGATATATTTTTACGCATAAAATATTGGTTGGGTAGTGGTGTTCCAAACTCATTTACCAAAAGTTGAGGGTTCGAGATTTCATTCGATATATTTTTACACCTTGAACATTGGTCTGATGGTGGTGTACCTGACCCATTTACCACAAATTGAGGGTTCAAAACCTCAATCCGATATATATATTTTTAATATGTTTTGGGAGGGTGCCAACTAGGTTTGCTGGCAAAAACTTTGATAGATTATTGCAAAGACCTAAGTTCGAATCCTGCATTCGCCACTTATCCTTTGTGCAATTATCCTTATCATCGATGGTCCGTTTTGCCTTTTTATCATTGTGATATGTTTTTGTTGGTAGTACATGTGCCTTGGTTTATATGTGTTCGATTAATTGTCTTCATTTTTGGGCATTTATTTCTTTAAGTGTCCTGAAGTTTCAGTTTAAATTTTGACTGATGGGCATTTGATGGTTTCTAGTTACACATTAAAGAATCAGAAGCTAAATTTTCTTTTCTCTCTTTAGAAACTGTATGATAGATCTTACTCCAAATCACACTTGAATTCAGTTGATTTTATGAATAGCATATATCCAAGATAGAAAATTGACATATGGTGTCTCTCTTTCACTCGAACCGTGATTGTAGAAAATTAGCCCTTTCTTACCATCCATATTTGAGAGGTCAAGGGCAGTGGAAGTAGCCTGAGAACCTAAGGGAACCAATATGTTTCTTGAAAAAACTCTTGGTTTTCTATAGGTTTTGGAGGGAAAATTAGTCCATAAAGAATAATCAATTGGAAGAGGAATGGATGCAAGTGATGTGCATAGGTTGACTTGAACTAATTAGAACTATATTGAATTTCTTCTATTTTGTACAGTTCAGTTGGTTCCTAATTATGACAGTGGTTTTGGTTCAAACACTATCAAATGTTAGAGCCAAATTTGAAGGTCTGAGAGAGATTGCATAATTGCAGACAATTTAAATGTCAACCTTGTTATTTTTTTTAGAAGATCAAGATTGGGTAATTTGGTTGGCAAGCTGGAACTATTTCTGGATTTTGTTTAGATTTTGGGTATGACTTTATTTCCATGAAATAAAATTGAGGTCCTACTGCTTTTTGACCAATATCTGAAAAAACATCTTCATTATTCATTCGTTATCTATCTCAAAATTGTTCCATGATATGATATTTTTCTTGTATTATCATGTCTACTGAATCTAGTTGTGTTCGAATGGACATTTGTTTCCTTGGAAATTGGAAACCTCTGTGTTTGTGATTCTATATTAGTTATTAGTGAAAGTTTGCTGCTTTTCTGTTGTCTAAAGTGGTCATTTTAATAGAACAATCACAAATCAGGCAGTGATTCATTAATGTGGAGAATACTTAATAGTTTATTTTAGGTCAGGAAACTGTTTGGTGAATAGTTTCCATCCTTTTTGTGAATTTCTTGAGTTCCAAAATTTCTTTCCATTCTGTGATTGCTAGCCTATTATTATCAAACCCATCGCTTAATTCTTGTCATGCTAAAGTTATATTTTTAACATCTATTCGGTCGTAAACCCTTATAACATAAGTTGGTTTTGGAAGCTGTTTGATGAATAGTTTCTTTTCTTTTTGAGAAGTTTTAAGTTCGTCTAAACTTCTATCAGTCTTCTGACTTCCTGACTTATGATTTTCAACTCCATTGATTAATGTTTCAAGGCTAAAATTGTGTTTAGCATTTGTTTTTCACTTGTTGGATACGATCAAAGAATTCATTGTGGTCCTTGAGGCTAGAATATGTACTTCTAATTTCCTTGAATTCGACTCTGCAAATATGGTATTTCAAAAATAATGCCAAGGAACATCTCATTAATGATGATATGGTTTGTTTTTCGTGAAACTTTGACAGGTTGCATCACGACCAAGGAGCTCGGAACTGTGATGCGATCACTGGGACAGAATCCTACAGAGGCAGAGCTACAGGACATGATCAATGAGGTTGATGCAGATGGCAATGGAACTATTGATTTTCCAGAGTTCTTAAATCTGATGGCACGCAAGATGAAGGACACCGACTCAGAGGAGGAACTTAGGGAGGCTTTCCGAGTGTTTGACAAGGATCAGAATGGGTTCATCTCAGCAGCTGAGCTTCGTCATGTCATGACCAATCTCGGAGAGAAGCTGACTGATGAGGAGGTTGATGAGATGATTCGTGAAGCTGATGTTGATGGTGATGGTCAGATCAACTATGACGAGTTTGTCAAAGTCATGATGGCCAAGTGAGGATAAATGACTTTCATGTAAAAAAATCTGGACCTTTCTATGGCAGATAAGTAGTGTTATGTAATTTTCTGCACGTCCCGCCTCGTCGGACATAGCTATTTGGTTATCTGTAGTTGTGAGATCCGTCGACAATTATTTTCTTCTTGCTTTGTTGACTGTTTTATCTTTGCACCGTCACTACTGTTATTTGATGCTTTCGGTTATCTTGTTTCAGCTTGAACTTTTATATCGATTGTTCTTTTTATTATTCTTCTGTTCTCTATTGCAAAACTTGCATTCCTGAACATTTATATTCCAGATTTGAGCGGAACTTAATCTGTGGTGTGTAATTTATCCTTTTCACTTTTTATGTCAGTTTCTTTATCCACTTGACAGTGTTGTGTTCCTGTAGCATAGTTGACACCAGCATTCTTCTTTGGTTGAAATTATATTATATTCTTTCTTATCTGTTTGATTAAAAATATGTAGGAAGATCTTTAAATGGTGTCCCTGTAACTTTTTGTCGACCTCCACGACAACAATGCTCAATCTTAGCATTTTTCATTGTTCCTGAGCTTGTAGGAGTAAGAATTTTTCTGAAGAAGAGGCAAATTCTTCAGGGCTTCATTGACTCTGACAAAACCCTTGGAATGGAAATCTTTAGTAAGCAGCTGTTGTAGAGCCTGTTGTTGGGCTTTCCATGGCCTTCAACTCACTGTGCCCTACAGTAGTTTACCAACTCTTCCTTCAGGTCAATGTGATCAGTGCATATGGTCCATACACATCAGGTATGCAGGTAATCTTACTCCTTGCATAAGAATTATCTAGTCATTCATTTACTTACTGTAATGTCTCTGAAGACTCACGGCATGCTTATCCTTGTTTTCCTTTTGTGTTTTCACCACCAGTATAATTTTTCATGTTCCTTTTATTTGCTTCTCTTTTCTTTGCTTGGTTTTTTTTTATTTCTCCTAAATAATCTGATGGAGTAATGATTCCATCTTTCCCTCAGAAAAAAATAGGAAGATTGTTCAAAATCAACTGTTTCAATGTTTTTGGGTTTTTTAGTCTGTATTCGTGCATGATAGCTATTCAAGTCTACTGACTGCTCTGTTTTTGGGCTTCTATTCGCACTAATATCATGGCTGATTGATGAAGTCGTACATCAATATGAAATGTTTGTTAGATTCGTAAAAATAATTTTCTGCTCTCCCCTCGTGCGCATTATTGTCATTCTCTTTCCAGAGTCTTGAAAGTCAACTCTTTCCCTTTCCTAATGTGCCTCGCTTTTAGTATTTTTCTGTTCTTTGTACGTTTAATAAATCTTATTTGGTCTATAACTTTTGAGCCAAAAAGGGGCTCCATGCAACATCTAAACATAATCATTTGGGTGCTGTAAAAAATATTATGCTTGCATCTATCATTGCAATGAATTTGGAGATAGATGTGTTTCGTAGTCTAAAAAGATCAATATGCACACAGCCATATCAAAAAAAAAAAAAGATGGATGTATGCAACCATTTCCAGAGGTTTCTGTGACTCCAATACTCATCCTCTTTTGACCTATGCATCAAGAAATCACTAATGATTAATCCACATTTCCAAAGAGCATCACCACTTAGAATCACAAAGGTGAGCTCCTACCTTTAAATTGGATCAGAAAGCCTATGCAATCCCATGAAGTTAAGACTTAGAATCCATAAAATGAGAGGGGGCAGAAAGGAGTTTATTGTTTCTGCAACTAAATTCCTTGCACCATTTCAAATGAAATTAAAAGAGGCAGCTCCTTCCCAACATTATTGATACAATGGCTACTGGCTCAAGGCAATAAAAGAATTGCAAAGAGAAACATGGCAGCTATTATCACACAGGAGGACTAGGAAAACTGAAGAAGTCACATAGCAGAACAGCCCATGACAGAATAGAGATGATGCTCATGTGTTCTTACTCTGGGCTGCTTGGTCTTTCACATCCTCCTCAGGTATCCAAACAACATCCTTGAGGCTGTTGGAGAGATTCTTATAGAACTGCAGAAAGAAAAATTTTGTTCACCTATCAGCCAAGCTGCTCAAACAAACAGCACAAAAGACATTATTGCAGATGAACAATAACTGTGCTTGGTGTTGGTCAACCAGATTTTGGCAACTTTTGCCTGATGCTTGAGTATATTCAACAAGCATAGGAGACTCAGGATGTGATGCGAGGAGAAGCAACTTTTAAGCTATGTAAGTTTCGTGCCGTTTTCAGTTCATAATGTTGCAGGGAATTGTAACAGGTCGATAAGAATCATAGTATTTGCATGCTACGTCTATGTAGGTTCTGTTTTAATGCTCAAACCGTGCAGAATGCGAGGTGAATTTTATGTGTATTTTTCAGGTCTATTTTATCTGCATTACCATGATATATACACAAATATGATCATAGCGATACAGAACCTTTTAGTGAATCTTAGACTGGGCTAGTTATCCTTACTAAGAGAAGCATTTTGTTCTGGTCCATAAACCACCGTAGGTTTATCATCTTGTGAAGGTCGTGTGTTCGTGGTAGTTCTGATAAAGATTTGTGCCGCATGTAGTCAGTGGTGTTTTGATCAGTCACCACTAGTAAGTAGATTTAACTTGGGAACTTCATTTCCTTTTCAAGAAACAAGCTCATCATGAAGAGGAGGCCATCACTGAGCTAGGATGGTTCCTAATTAATGCTCTTAGCATCAGTATTTTTGCGTCACTACCTCTTCATTGTTTTGTCAACCAGAAGGCTCAAACAGTATGAGTGTGGATATCAATGGCCAAAGAAGTAGATGAAGTTTGCCTTGGTACCTTATGGAATTCCAGAGTGTCTCCTTTAGCTTTTCTTACCTCAACCATGTGCAGAGATGGAGCCACTTGAAATACCTGTGAATTCATGCGGCAAGCATTAGCAAGAAGGAATCTGGTAGTAGTCCCTCCGCAAAAGAACACCATGCATCTCTTGAGGTACCTCAGTAGCAACTTTGAGATTCCCCTTCCTCCCAGCTTTTACATTTTCCAGCCTCATCTGAACAAGCAATGCAGAATTCAATTCCAAGATAGTATTTGGTTCAAAACACTTGATCTTGTTCTGAACAAAGTTTATTCAGAAGATTACTAATATGATCCCAAAGTCGTATATATGACTGACTCACCTTGTAGTTCTTTTTCTGAACATCAAACCCAAGAGGCTTTGCAGCTTCTTCAATCTTACTGACGATTTCATTGGCTGGACATGTTGATGTGAATCTTGTTTCCCTCTTGAATTCCTGTTGCATAGAGGAACTGCAAATGTAGCCGTAAAGTCTAACACAATCATAGACTGATACCATAACGATCGGTACTGATTTTTTAAAAAATTAAGAAAAACTGAAAAACAAAATATAAACTGCATGGTACAGGACTTATATCTCCTCTACAGGCTAGTGAAGCCCTTATACTGGGTGTACCATCCAATTTACCCTATTTTGCGACGCGTAATGGTAAACCATCGGATTAGATCGTGAATCTTGACTGACCCCATCTATGATACATTGTGGTCAGGAATAAAGAACAAGAAGCTTGACAAATAAGCTGCAACACCAGAAGCATGCCAATGAACTAAAGTCCAACATGTTAACCTGTTGTGTGTCAAACAAATTGCCAAGATCAAGCCCCTTTGACATCGAGATAAGCTCAAAGGCATTCATAGTTGTTGGCTGCTCTTCCTTCTTCTCTGTCACGTGATGTTCCTGCAACAGAACACAAATGTGCTTCATATGGCAGATGGCTTTGACCAAATACAACAAGAAAACTTGTAGTAGAACTATCGGAGAAGCTCGTCTTTGACTCACTTCTGCATCCTTGAACACAGCATCCACATCATCCAAGCTCGTCTCGTACTTCTCCTTGAATACTGGAGGCTTGTAACCTTTCTTGAACCAGTCATCCTCCAATATCTCTGGAATAGTTATACGCTGCGGATGAAACAAGATCATGCAACTAAAGTTAAAACTCAAAAAAGGGGAAAATACCTGCCACAAACAGATTGCACACGGTAAAATCCAACACATAATCTACAGCCATGGGAGGTCAAATCTAGCTTCTTAGAACTTTCATGTTGTGGTTTGTGAAGAATCACTTACTGTCATTGGATTTGGGTCCAGGATTCTTGCCAACAGTCTCATGGCACCAAAAGAAAGCCAAGGTGGGCATGTAAAGTCAGCAGCCGAAATCTGCATGTCAAATGAGTGTTCACATCCTATGCAATGTGATGCAGAAGCTCTATGTGACGGTGATAATGCTCACTTTATTGTACAAGATCATGAGATTAGAATCCTCGAAAGGCAAGTACCCTGCTAGTAGAACAAATAGGATGACTCCACATGACCACAAATCTGCGGTTGCTCCATCATAGCCTCTGTCATTGAGAACCTGATGACACAAAACAATTTCATTTTGAGTCAAACATGGTTTATGTATATTGATGTATCAGAAAACATTGTCATCAGACAGTCATTATCACCTCTGGAGCAACATAATTTGGAGTGCCACAAGTAGTATGAAACAAGCCATCATCCTGGGAAGAAACATCATTGAGATCAGAAGGTCAATGATCAGTCTCCGGAACTAATAACAGTGAAGATATATCAGAGGCTGTAATCAAGGAATTGAGCTTATCAGAGTTCTTGCATCCTGCTTCTATGAAGTCTAGGAATTTAGGACCACAAAATTAGTTATTGCGAGAGCAAAATTCTGTTGAATGCACTGGCATGTGTTTTAATGTCATTTTCTCAACATAAGTACGATGGATCTTAAACTGATAACTCGAGCAAATTGATAAAGTTTTGCATGTTCGCCAAACCAAAACAAAAGGAATAGTGCACAAAAAATTGTGCATTAAAGTGATTAAACTATGTATAAAGCCATCTCAAATAAGGTACATCACCGAATTCAACAAATTTAATGATTTTATATTGTTAATCAAATTGAAGCATGCTTTACTGTTAAAAGTGCTGTTTTTTATGTTAACTAGATACAGAAATAAGAGAGCTTCAGAACAATCGATTTTTATTTCTCAGATTTGGTCTTATTTTTGTATATCGTATTCAGTGGATTCGACCTTCCTTTCATAACCCACTATTTCATTTTGAATCGGTAGGATTGAGGGCTTAATCCTACTTATAAGATATAAACTCAACTCTACATAGGTAAAGAATGCATAGTGATCATTGTAGATCTGCAGTGATTGGTAAATCTTCCACACAAATGCTTTTCCAAAATATAAATATCACTTGGTTTATAGAAGATGTTATTGCTTTGATCAAATTGAACTACATGAAGATGAACATGTGAAAAGCTTCTGATGTCTTTGCAATGATCACAAATTAGAACATCATCAAGAAATTAACAACTAATTACTCTGCGATTACCCTGACTTGCTGTGATAGAGCACTTAATCCAAAGTCTGAAACTTTCAGGTTACCATAAGCATCAAGTAGTAAGTTTTCTGGCTGCACAAATGCATTTAAGTAAATCACCAATGTTCAAAGCCTTGAGCAGTTTAACATCATAAGGATATCTAGGATCATGTAGTTTACTTTGAGATCTCGGTGGTAGACTCCCCTGCTGTGGCAGTAATCGACAGCATTGATTAGTTGTTGGAAATATCTTCGTGCCTCATCCTCCCTCATGCGACCGTGGTTTGCCTTCATTATTTGATTTTTAAGGAGCATTAGCAGAGAAGAAAATGGTGGCAAACATAACAGAGACTAGAAGTAAGAAATATGTAAATGTGTATATATGTGTGTACACTGTGTATGCTTATATATGCAGTATATGTAAAACTATATTTGTGAAAGATGATAAATCGATGCATATGCATGTCATAATTTCTTGAGAAGAAATTTCTCTTAAATGTGCATCAAATTTAGATCTTACTATTTTGTCAAAGAGCTCTCCCCCTGTAACAAATTCAAGTACAATGAAGATCTTTGTTTTGCTCCCCATCACCTGAAATTAGAGAAGCATTCATCAGCGAAGAAGAGTGACGTACCAACACATACAAAAATAGATATCAACAGAAAATACCAAGTAAAATTTTCTTCAAAATATACTGCATAAGTTCAAATTTGTCTCAGCTTCAGCTATGTCAAATTATTAGAAAAGGCAACAGTGCCACGGTAGACATAGTTAACGAACATAGCAAGAAAGGACAAGGCAGGCACAATCACAATATCTATACAATGCCAAACAACTCAAAAGTTCTTCTTGGCTCAATTGCTTCTTTTCTGTGGCACATTTGCCCATTGGAAATCATGTGCAAACTTGAACCTCATTGGTATCGAGAGATGAAATGTGGGTTTAGACCTTAGTCTTTTAAATGTTGGTTATTGATCAGAATACATTGAGATGTCACCAAATCAATGCAGCTTAGTCATGAAATAAAATAGGATAAAAAACAGACAAAACTTCCAGCACAGTGACATGTTATCTTTGGCAAGAAAATATCATTTAGTCAGAGTTGTTATCTGTTTATTTTCTTATACTTGACATAAGACTACCAAATGTCAGGTAAAAGACTTTGAAAACAACCTCATATATGCGAACGACATTAGGATGCTTTATTAACTTCATCGTGGCAATTTCACGCTTAATCTGCAAAAAGAATTAGATATCAGTAAAAAGGTGATTTTGGATATAAAGAATCAAAGTATATCAGCAAATGAGAAAGGTACAACATTGATCCTACTTTCAACTTTATGAATTTATGCAGCAAGACTCAACTACATCTTAAATTAGCACAAAAGCTTGTATCAACAGTTGAGGATATCAATCAAGCTCCTAGGAGTTATTCTTTTTTCATTCTATTAAGTTCCAAGGAGTTATTCATCTTTCATTCTCAATGAGCAAGTTAAATTGGAGGAATACATGGATTCATCAGCTCTCTATTGCTTTTGGCATTTAAATCTCAAAGTCAGCAAACTTCAGCAGCATTTGATATAGGATATGGAATAAGCATTTGATCACATATTAATAAGAAACAAAGCAAGCTTAAGGAATAAGAAAAGCTGCATTGAAGTATAATTTTTTGGAGAAACTTGGAAAGGACCTGTTCAACCAGCTTGTGCTTGAGAACCTTCTCCTTGTCAAGGATCTTGATAGCAACCGGTTCCCCGGTCTCAACGTTCCTCGCAAATTTAACTTTTGCAAATGTTCCTTCCCCAATTGTACGTCCGAGTTCATATTTACCCACTCGACGCTTCACCTTAGTCGTGTTCATTCCTTATTTGATCTCTTCTGGAGCCTACTTGGTGAGTAATCAAGAGGTGCTCGGGAAATAAGCTTTCTCCAACCGTGTGTCAGTACCTGATCTCAATTAAAATTGAACGCATATGCCGGAAAAGCTTCAAACGAGAGAAGATAAAGGACATCTTAGTTGGAATTTCTGATAACGTCTTCTGTTTTCTTCCAGAACTCATATCTAGGCTGTGATGTCTGCATCAAGTTTATTACTAATGTTAAGAAGGAGCAAAAGGTTTGTCTGATAGAAAGCTTTAACTGCTGGAAGAGAAGAAGAGAAAAGTAAGCCTAATGCAAACCTATAAATAATTGATTTCTACCTAATCCAGCTAAGGTTTTTCCTTTTTTCTTCATTTTTACATAAGACAGTCTCAACCTCTTGATCTCAAATTAGCAGTTTAAAGAGTCTGCACACATGCAACATGCAGGAGTTGACTTTCTGGCTTCAAGCTTCACCATGCGACCACCTGAGAAGATCCAACATTCTAATCCAAAATTCAATTACATGACCAAGAGACTTGAAAGTCTAACTCTTGGAGAAAAGTATTCAAAACCCAAAGATATCAAGCTCAAGAAGCAAGAATAGAAATCTTCAAAGTTATCAGATATGAGTATTAAAATATTGAAATCCACATACCAATGTGAAGCTTTCATATTCATAATTTTGTTCAACAGACATGGCACTCATATAAAGAAGAAAATATCAGCTTCTTAAACAAAGAAATTGTGTTAGAGTCGATTACCACAAGCTAATAATGCAGTGTATATTATATCAATATTACACCTCTCCCAGTTGCCAAAGTTCTCTAGTCAGTTTAGTAGTAGAACAACCAGAAGAGATTCAAACAGATAAAGATGATCAGAAGATTTACCAAAAACAAGTAAATAATAGAAATTCCAGAAAGAGATGATGATAAATACAGAAGAAAGTGGAAGTCCTCCTCATCAGATTATAAAAATAGGTAGCTACAACAGCAGAAACGTGACAAAAATGTCTCAGACCTTAAGACATTTTATAGCCCCAATAAAAGAGGAAAGAGCAGAGAAAGACCAAAACCCACGAATTCAGATCGAAGCAGAACATGAGAATCAGCCCTTTAAAGAATTCAGATCGAACCAAAGGATGACCACTAAAAGTCGCTCCCACGGAAAAGATTGTATTTGCATTAGCTGATAAAGGAAACATATTGGAAGCACTCCTTTTGCATGAAAATTCCAAATTTATATCATCACATGATGGGAGAAGCAAGAAAGTTTTGATCTTTACAGCTAGTGTTAGCAATCAACACCAGTTGATCAAGGAGAAAAGCACAAAATATTTGAGGTATCTTTCTGACATGAAAAGCAAATAGCAATAAGCTTAATCAATCAAATATCCACTGTTTCAGTAAGAACAAAGGCAGGTAGAAAGAGGGGAAGGTGGTGGTGGAAGGGGGAAACTGGCCTACTAACTATCCAGAAAGGGAAGAACAGAGGATCCTTGGCCACCTGCAGAGAGAACCACAGCAGCTGATCTTTTCTTCCGGCAATCTGATGACGGCTTTCGGGAGCTCTGCGGGACGAATTAATGGGGCAGCAGATCACTGACAGTAAAACAAGAAGGGAACTGGTTGGTGCAGGTGGTAGAAATCCAGCACCCGCAGTAGCAGTGGAACAAGCAGAGGCCAGGAAGAGGGTGAATCATGCAGCGGTCGTCCTCCCACCCCGAGGGCAGAGCAAACCATCTTTATTGTCACCTGCTTCCAGGTCCAGTCATGGGGCCACAGGACCCCATCCCCACCACCACCTTCGACATTTACTGACAAGGCGACAGAGACCTGCCTTCCCTTTGTCACTCTACACCTCACCTCACCTCGTCGTTTGTGGTCTTTTCTCCTGCGTCGTTGCACTGAGTTCTGGCACGATTCCAGAACAGTGTCATCCGCATGGCTGGCGCCTCTCAGCTCCTCTTACCTCTGCCGGTGACAACATGGTGCGCTCAACTGCCGCTCAAAGCTTGATGAGCGTTTTGGTAGCTCAGATTTCTCAGTGGCCACAGCTCATGCAGCCATTTAGGAATCCCAGCTGACCATGGATTTGATTGTGACAGGTTCCAATCAGTCTCACTGACTGCTAATTGTTTGCCAATGATTTCTTCTCTGTTGACCAAATCTTTATGAAATGGAAGACTGACTTTGATCAAAGCTAAGTAACTACTGATCCAGAGATGGATTTTGTAGGTGTGGGAATGGATTCGTTCAGGTATGTTTGTCGTTACTGGATTCATGGCTCAGTAGATCAGATCGTGCACAAAATAAATATCATTTAATGTCAAAGAATAATCATGATGATCTAAGAATTTTTACTGAAAATATTATTTTATTATTGATTGGTATTTATTGGTCCGAACATAAATCGGTAGATAGACTCATCATTCATATGATCTGATCCGAAAATAAAAAAAGTATTTTAGTTTTATTCGTGAGCCACCTCCATCATCATCACGGAGCGTATTAGTTTTTTCTTTTTTTCTTGCTCCTCTATTTTTTTCGTCTTTCTTCTCTTCGTATAGTAGGTCGAAAGAAATGA